GCAGTGCTTAGTTTAGGTCAGAACGGGTCCTTGGGGGCAGCAGCCGGCCATCCAGGGTGCCTGCAGCCGTGCGCCCCCCCCCTTCTCCCGCACCCTAAGTCCTGTGGTCAGCCCCGGGGACAGCTCCCTTCCCTCCAGAAGCCATCAGCAGCTGCCACCAGCTGAGCCCTCATAGGCTTCTGGGAGGGGGTGATTCCGTCAGGAGAGAATCTGCCAGGCGAGGCCCAGACAAAGGGGCACGCGTGGACCAGCAGCACGTCCAGGCTCCACGTCCCAGGAGACCATGGCTGTATGCACCTCGTCTCAGGGACCGGGTGGAGCCCACTTACTTCCCACTGCAGGTGCAGCCTCGCCTGCTTCCACCGGCCCTCTGGGCAGTGCCATGGGGAAGAGCGCCCATCTGCTCTTTGGGGGGAGGCAGGTTCCTCAGGTGTGGCTGGAGACCCCCCCACTCCCCTCACCTACCCCGCTCAGCCCACCCTCTTCCAGGAGGCCCCCCTCCCACCAGCCCAGCATCCCGGGCCCCTCACCTTCTCCACTGCGGCGTAGCGGCTGGCAAGCTGCTTGCGGAGGTCGGCGATGTGGTGGTCACACTTTTTCATGTCTTTCTTGAAGTTCTCCCGGAAGTTCATCAGCGGCTTCTCCACCTCGCTGTGGAGCTGGGAGGGGAGAGGGGCACACTCAGTACCTGGGCACCAGCTGCAAGCAAGCGCTGGGGGAGGGCAGCTCCCACCCCCGCAGGTGAGGGGGGCCTGGGCGGTGGCCTGGACCTCTGAGTACAACTGAGTGTCCACTAATGAGGTGGAGGTTTAGGAAGTCGCCTCAGCTGGCCAGGCCCCGGTTCACTGCTGGATGGACAGGCTGGTGTCCAGAGCGTCCCGAGTCCCTTGGTGGTCACCTCCTCCCCACTCTGAGCTCCCACAGCTCTTGGGAGGGCTCTGACCTTCCAAGCTGGAAGCTTTCTGGGGGCAAAACCACGCCACCGTGGTGTGCCAGGCACCCGTCACTGGCATGGGTGCCATTTATCCTGGGTGCTGCAGGGCAGCTCTGTTCACCGAACACCTGCTCTGTGCCCGTGCGAGCCTGTGAAGGTGACCTGGACGTGGTGCAAAGCTCCAAGAATCGATGGCGGGAGCCAGCGAGGCCAGTGGGGGCTCACAGGGCCCCCTCTGCCCTGTACCTGGGGGTGGGGGCTGCTCATCTCACTGGTCCGCATGGAGACGGCACCTCCCATCCCAGCACAGGGAACGGCCTCGCAGGCTGGAGGCCAGAGAAAGAGGTTTCTGCTTTGAGGGGAGTCGGGGTATTTTTCAAGCATTTTCCTTCTCTTTGATTCCTTCCCTCGATCCAACTCCTTTTTGAAGAATTTTTACTTCCACTTTTTTTTGGTGTGAAAATGAGATGCATTTGATGAGAAAATAGGAAAATGTGGAGTTGCTGCCAAGCCAGGTGAGCAGCCTAGAGCAAGCATGTCAAACCCGCGGCCCACGAGTATTTTTGCGGCCCAGCCAATATAATGGTATTTCAGAAACGTTTTTATAAAAATTTCACAACTTAATTTTTATAATATCCTCTTATACATAGTTATTAATAATGAACTACAACGTTTGCTAATGGCTGATTACTATCATCGTGTTGCATTCATTTCCCTTACGCGCCTTATGCGCAGGCTCACCATGTCTCTCCACTAACACTAGCAGCGAATATTTTAGCCGCAGCCGATGGCCACGTCATTAGTCTTGGACTGACTTGTTCGGTGTGCGCAACAGAAAATATGAAAATTGAGCTTTTGTGTTTTTTTGCGGCCCACATAAACTTACATATTGTTGATTTGGCCTGTGCTAGCCTCTGAGGTTGACATGCTTGGCCTAGAGCCTTGCTGAGTCAGCCTCTCCGAGCCCCACCCGTCAGCCTCCTGGGCCCTCCTGGCCCGGCCTTCCAGGTCCCTGGGGCCTCCACCTGCCCCAGAAACGCCTCTGACAGGTACAGCTGAGCCTCCCTGTCAAAGGAACACACACACACACACACACACACACCCGGCTCTGGGATTCTGGGATCTCTCTCTTCCTCCTCACCAGGCTGCTGGTACATGAACTTTTCCCCTGGCGACCTCAAGGGCTTATGTGCTCTTAGTTCTACACAACGGGTCACACGTGACTGAGTCCAAGAGGCCAGGAGCCTGGCTGGCTTGGCCACCACGGTGAACGGATTCAGCTGGAGCTGGAGCGGAGCCAGTGCCCCTTCACTTCTCGGGGAAATGACACAACCCTCAGGGCCCAGTGGCCTGCGTGACAGCAGCTCTGTTCTTGGATGACCTTCGAAAGCTAGCAGGGAGCGGGCAGCCACGGGCCCCTCGCTCCTGGTGTTGGTGGTAAGTACCTGCTGGTATTCTTCTGACCCCGTTTCCTTGTGTAGGAAACACCCCACCTGGTGGCAGTTCGCGAGATGCTGCAATGTGACAGCTGCGGAGGAAGGCAGACCCATTCCCACATAGGTGAGGCCTTTGCTGCAGGGGAGCTCATACCTCCGCTGCCATGGCAACCTGCTCCGCATTGGGGTGGGAGGGCTCCCCGGGCCTGCAGCCTCAGTGCCTGGAGCCTCCCGAGCCCCTCAGTGGGGTCTCTTTCTGAGGAGGTGGAGGGGTTGATTTCTAGAGGTCAGTGCGCCCAGGAGTGACCTGGAGGGACATTCCACATGGCATCTGGGCACACAATGCTGTAGCTGGCAGAGGGACCCAATCCCACTGCGCTGCCCTCTGTGTTTTCAGCACTTTTAAAGTACGTAATTCTTCCTTAAGAAAAAGAAAACTTGGCCGCGTGTCTTTCATACTCATTTTTAACTTTAAGCATCTTTGTCACTGGGAGTCGAGTCTTCAGTTGAGTCCAGGTGAGGTCGGGGTGGGCCCGTCTGGGATGGGACAGGCTGCTGATCCACTCGGGTCGCCTGCTGGGAGCTCCTCACTCCAGCCCCCTTCCCCCTCCCTCCTCACACGGGGGAGAGCAAGAGAAACCACGAGATGCAGACCACGGCAGAGACGGTCTGTCGGTGTTTTCCAAACGGCGGGCAGCTGGGCGCAGTGAAGTGAGGTGAGTGGGTCAGGACCAGCTCTGGTGGGAAGGGCCAGCCGCCAGGGAGACGTCAGAGAGCACGGCAGGCGGGAGGAGTGCGTTTCATGAAGCGTGTGTGTGGACGCTGGGTGCGGAGGCCGTGTGCTGTGGGGGCCGTGGAGATGTATCCCAGCGGTTCCCCCCAAATAGGTTTCAAATGGAAAATGGGGGCTCGGAGATGCCGAGTGCCCCGCCCAGGGTCAGGGGCGGGTAGCGGCAGCGCTGACGGAAACTCCCGCCTCCCCTCCCACTCTGCCCCCAGCCTCTGACGGGTGCCCGGCGCCTCATCCATGATTAGACCGTCTCCCATCACAAGGGATAGGTCTGGTCTCCTCCAGCAGAGCCAGGCGTAGCTTCCTGTGTACACGGCCATCGGTCCTTAGCAGCCTGTTGCTGGCAGCAATGGCTGCAGCCAGCAGACAGAAAAGCCTGAGAGATGGCCTCACAAAACTGCATTTCGTACAGGGCTCTTACGCTGACACAGAGCAGTGGGGTTTCAGTGAGCCTTCCGGAGCAGAGGTTAAATGGGTTTGGGGCATGTGGAGCCATATTATCCATGGCAAACAGTGAATGCTTGGAGCTCTCTTCTTCGTAGAGAACAGCTACACCACGCTGGCGGCTAACGTGGCTGCCTAAGGCCACCGACACTGCCCGGCCAGCAGCAGCGGTGGTTCTCAGAGAAAATCCCTCATACGCTTTCCATCGGCGATGTCCTGGGCATCAGGAGGGCCGGCCCACTACCCAGACAGCCCCCGAGAGAGGGCAGTGTGGCCTCCAGAGAAAAGGTCCGGGGTCAGCACCCCGTTCACCCTGTCCTCTCCATCCTGCTCCATCACGGCCCCCTAGGCTGTGTGGCCGCAGGCTCCGCTTAACCTCTGCCCCTTCTCACGTGTGAGGTGGAGATGCCATCCTGCCGGTGGCTGATAAGACTGAGGTGAGTTCTAGCCCGCACGAACCATTGAGAGCACTGTATGACTGTGATTCTGCCACATAATAATATATACGTCTATTCTCGTCCTTGGCTCCTGGCTGGAGCGCCTCCCCTTTGTAATTTCCTCGGTGATCACGGTGCTGGAAGCATCCTCTGTTCGAACAGTTGGTCGCGGACCTGGCTGAGCCTGGTTCCCGTCACAGAGCTTCTGAGTCCCCTGCCATTTCCTGGGTGACAGGAGCCTCTTTTGTCCTAAGGAAGGGGACCCTGGGTGGGCTCCTGCCTAGCTTCTGGAGGGGGCTGGTCGCCAGAAAGACCAAGCCATGATTTCAGCCGCAGGCCCCAGCCGCTGGGGAGAGGAGAAGCTGGAGATAAATTGATGGTGGCCACCTGATGAAGCCGCCATAAAAGCTGTCAATCACAGTGTTCAGAGAGCTTCGGGTTGGTGAACACAGCACGTGCCAAGAGGGTGACCCTCCACAGGGACAGGAGTCCCTGGGCTCGGGACGCCCCCCCCCTGCCCAGACCTCACCCTAGGGCCTAGGCACCTCTCCACATGGCTGTTCATCTGTATCATCCATCACATCCTTTAACATATAATACCCTGGGAAATCTAGGTCAGTGGTTCCTGCGTTCTGGGAGCCACTCTAGCGAGTTATTACACCTGAGGAGGGGCCGTGAGAGCCCCCAAATGGTAGCCTAGTCAACAGAAGTGTGGGTAACCCAGGGACCCACTGCTTGCAAATGCCATCTGAAGTGAGGGCAGTGTTGTGGGGCTGAGCCCTGACCCTGTGGGACCCATGTTACCTCCATAGACAGTGTCCGCACTGAGTTATATTGTAGGACACCCCGCTGTAGGAACTGGCCAGTGGGAGGAAAAGCACTTGGTGGCAGAAGTGGTGGTGTGAGCAGCAGCGGGAAAAGGAAATAGCAGAGGAAAGCAGAGCACAGGAGAATGTTTGGTCTGTGAACATTCCAGAAACGGGGTCCTGCTGAGGGGAAGTAAGTGCCCCGGGTCCCGGATCTGCAGAAGCCCTTTCAGAAGCTCAGGTGACCGGCCCCCAGCCCGCCCAGCCCAAGGGCAGCCTTCCCACCCACCTCCCCAGGCAATGGCAGGTTCAAGTGCGGGAACAGAGCTGCTGGGGCCAGGCCGGCAGGAAGACCCGGAGGGAGCACCTCCCAGGATCTGCAGCTTAGAAAGAACTCGCTGCCTTGTCTGAGCAGCAGGAAGGAGCCTAATTCGCTGAGCCCCCTCCTCGCCCGGCTGGAGGGGCGACTTCCGGTGCAGGGGCTGGTGCCAGGGTTCCTGAGCTATTGTTCGCCCGGCATTCTCACATCTGGGTGGCAGCTCACTCCGGGGCACTCCTACCCTTCACAGCAGGAGCTGGAAATAGCACTGGTTTTCCCTCCACTCAGCTCTGTATGCAGCTCCTCCACATGCCTCACATCTGAGCCATTCATTCTGCCCCGTGTGCGGGGCAAAACCACGAAGCGGGTGGGGCGGCCTGTACTGGCTCGGAGTGCTGCAGGTGTAGGGATTTCATAGACTGGTTGCTCCAGACAGCCAGTATTAAAAATTGTGGTCTAAATTCAAAATTAATCAATTACACTAAAAACAAGGTACTAAACACTCAGCACGTATCACTTCCTAACTGCATCTCGCTGTCCTCCATGGTCTCAGGGCTAGTTCTGATCACTCAGTATAGCACTGGGATGGCGGGAACATCGTCCTGGGCTGTGCTGCTGCCCATCCCCCAGCCTGGATGTGTGCGTCACAGACCCTGGTCCAGGGCTGAGCTACTGCCTATCCCCCAGCCTGGCCGTGTGGATCACAGACCCTGGTCCAGGGCTGAGCTACTGCCCATCCCCCAGCCTGGACGTGTGGATCACAGACCCTGGTCCAGGGCTGAGCTACTGCCCATCCCCCAGCCTGGACGTGTGGATCACAGACCCTGGTCCAGGGCTGAGCTACTGCCCATCCCCCAGCCTGGACGTGTGGATCACAGACCCTGGTCCAGGGCTGAGCTACTGCCTATCCCCCAGCCTGGCCGTGTGGATCACAGACCCTGGTCCAGGGCTGAGCTACTGCCTATCCCCCAGCCTGGCCGTGTGGATCACAGACCCTGGTCCAGGGCTGAGCTACTGCCTATCCCCCAGCCTGGCCGTGTGGATCACAGACCCTGGTCCAGGGCTGAGCTACTGCCTATCCCCCAGCCTGGCCGTGTGGATCACAGACCCTGGTCCAGGGCTGAGCTACTGCCTATCCCCCAGCCTGGCCGTGTGGATCACAGACCCTGGTCCAGGGCTGAGCTACTGCCTATCCCCCAGCCTGGACCTGTAGATCACAGACCCTGGTCCAGGGCTGAGCTACTGCCCATCTCCCAGTCCTGATGTGTGCATCACAGACCCTGGTCCAGGGCTGAGCTACTGCCTATCCCCCAGCCTGGACGTGTGGATCACAGACCCTGGTCCAGGGCTGAGCTACTGCCTATCCCCCAGCCTGGACGTGTGCGTCACAGACCCTGGTCCAGGGCTGAGCTACTGCCTATCCCCCAGCCTGGACGTGTGGATCACAGACCCTGGTCCAGGGCTGTGCTACTGTGGTCTCTTCGGAACCCCTGACATTTACAGCATAGAAACTGGCAACACCACACCCGGGAGAGGCGGCTGTGCACAGCCTAGCAGCACACCACGGTGTAAGACCAGCCCAGAGAGGCCGCGGGGAGGGGTTACCTTGGCGGAGAACTTGAGGTGGACTTCTGCCTCGTCAGCCAGGCTCTTCTTCACCTGCGCCCACGCCTCGCCCAGGGACCTGCGACACGAAGCAGACTGTCAGACTCGGGGGAGCCGCAGTGACCCGATGGAGGAGACCCCGGAGACTGGGTTTGCGTGAGGCAGAGGCCAGGCAGGCACAAAACACACTTGGGCACTGTTTCAACCCGAGCCCCCCAAACCGAGCCCAGCAGCTGAGAGAGCAGGCTGTAGCAGACCGGGGAAATCGCCAGAAACCCAGAGAACGGGGGGAGCTGCACAAAAGTGGGGTGCAGCAGCAAGGAGGGCCTCCAAGGCTGGCCGACTGCTCTCCCCATGTCTTCCCATCACCCCTCCCTGGATTGTTGAGGAGGCACAGGCACCTGCTGGGAAGTCACAGAGGGAGGACAAGTGCCCCTCAGGGAACAGTCCTGCTCAAATGGAAGGTACCACACAGCGCTCCCTGCATGCAGGCAAACCCCGGACAGCCTGGCTTCCGGCGGGTAGTGGGGGGCCCTCTGGGTCTAGGGAGCTCCTGGGGACGCCCACAGGCAGATGGCTCTCCATCGGCAGCACAGGAGTGTGGCCCCGGCCGGTCCTGAGCCTGCAGTGAGGCCTGGTGCTGCACACAGCTCCCCTGGAGAACGCAGAGGCCTCTCCGCTCCGTCACTTCCCACGCCAAGATGCTTCAAGTAGAAGCAACTTCCCGAAGTCCCCAAGACCCTGCAATGCAGGCCCCAGGCTACACTCTGGTAATTTGCAACTCTTTAACCCTGGGACCTCTACACCCAGCCGTAAAGCCAGGCTGACTTCCTTCCGTCCAAAGGCCACTTCCCCGGGAGAATTCCTTAAACTCGAGTGGCAAAAGCTGACTAACAGACATCGTGCTGCGCGGCCTCTGGGTTTGCAGTGGAGAAGCCAGCAGCTGAGAGCTACCCAGCACATCCTAATGGGCCCCTCTGGTTCCGCCCAGGCCTGTCTGGCTGTGGTGCTGCCTCAGGCTGAGGTGGGTGCTTATGGGAAATGACTGACTGAGTGTATCTAGGAGCCTGGCAGCAAAGAAAGGCCCCCTTGGGTGACCCCGGCTAGGGAGCCCACCAGCGACGAGATGGAGAAATGGGCAACCCACACTGCAGACATTTCTCTCTGCCTCACGGTCTGAGCTCCAGGGAGCTGTGGGGGCAGCTCTGGGTGGCGGCTCCTCACCTGACCCGGGAGGCGGGTAGGGGGTCCTGGGCAGGGGACGGAGGGGGTGGAAGCAGACCTGGTGGTCAGACAGATATGGGAATACCAGGCCCAGAAACAGACTCAGATGTGGGGTGACTGATGTGCCACAAGAATGTCCAATTATCTCAAGGGAGGAGGGACAGCCTTTTAACAAATGGTGCAGACACAACTCTTCAACCACAGGGGACACGAGGCCTCTTGACCCTGACCTCATGCCATACGGTTGGATTCTCTCAGGATGCATCACAGACCTGGGGTGAACGTCCGCACTATACCAGCTACGGAAGCAGCCCCGGGAGAAGTGGGAACTCCTTCGAGGCTGACGGGAGGGGCTCAGCCCTGCAGCTGAGCTGCATGTGAGCCGGTGGACGGTGAAACCAGTGCCCACAAGCCGAAAGGCGTGGGCAGCCCTGAGAACATGCACGCCCCCCACCAGCAGGGCACGCGGTCAGTCACTGGCGCGGCGGCAGCTGCAGTGGCCTGACCCTGTCATCCGAGGCCACTGGGAGGGCAGGAGGAAGCACAGTTTCCAGATCAGGCCCAGGCTGTGTGGCCCAGTGGTTGCACACTGACCCATGAACTAAGAGGTCGCTGGTTCAATTCCGGGTCAGACTGTCCCCACCTCCAGGCTGGGCATTCACAGGTGGGAGGATGTCAGTCTAAACATCAATTGGTCTGTCTGAGCTAATACATGCTCCATGCACCGCCCCCCCGCCCCCGCAATATCCCAGGCCCCTTGGGGCCACGTCACCATTTCGAATAAAGCGATTAGAAATGCCCTCATTTGAAGAGAAGTTTTTCGTCTGATAAGTGGTTAGTGAAGAAACTAAAGTCTGAGATCTACGTCCGTTCCAATATGCAGTCTGAGGCCTTCCACGTCAAAATGCACGATGCTGTCACAACGCTCAAGCAGAAAACAGCCCCATCCCACTTCCTCTCCACGCGGGAGAGACAGGCTGCAGGCAGGACGAACAACCGGCCCTGGCTCCTCGCCGGGCGCACATATGCTGGGGCATCTGATTCGGACACGGCACTCGAGTGGCAAAGGCAGCTCGAGCCTCCCCCTGGGCAGGCACCTCCCGAGGCTGCCCAGATCTCTAGGCTCCAGCACTGCGCTTTGGAAGGTTCTAAGTGGACTGGGCTCACGTCCAAAGCTGGGTGTGAGCAAAACAGCGTCGCTGCACTGTGAGCAGGGCCCACGGGCCCAGCCCCCGGCAGCGCCTGCTGGAAGGAGTGTGCGCGAGGTTTTAGCCTGTGTGCAAAGGCAGGTGCTCATGGCCACGCTGGAGGCGAGCAACACCGATGCACGTATGTGAGCGTGTGCTGAGTTCCCCCATCTGTAGGTGCATGTGTGCACAGCATGGCGGGGCAGGCCCGATGCCTTCAGCTGGGAGCATATGCTGTGCGTGCGGGCAGGACTGAGTGTCCTCGGCAGCAGCCCAGGCCGAGGAGGTGGAGGCGGGAAGACTCAGGGCAGCACTGTAGTCACAGGGTATGGAGATGCCTGGAAAGGCCCCTGGCCTGGCCAGTGGGGCGGCTCCTCCACGCTCCTCCTTCCTGCCCTCATCTCAGGCCCAGTGCACGGAGCAGAGGGGGCCGGAGGGAACCTCATTTATGTCCGTGGGAGAGACACCAGCCTTGCAGGGCTGTCCTGTGGCCTGTGGCTGGCGGTCGGTGAAAACCATCCGGAGGCGGCCTGCTGGCTGCACAGCGGGCCCAAGCAGAGGCCTTGATCAAAGCCACATGTGGTTGGCAAAGCCCTGCCACTGAGGGATTTCAAGCCATGCAGGCAGGGCCGGGCTCGTTTAACACTGCAGCTCGCTGACGGCTGCAGCATCCGCTGCCTTCCTCTGCGGCTCACTTCCTCTCAGGAGGGAGTCAGACACTGCCCTGGAGGGAGGTCCCACCAGACGGAAGACTCCAGGGACCTTCAACGCTAACTTCCTGAGCCGTTGTTTTTATTATTGGGATGAAATTTCATTCAGAACGATCGCACTTAGCCCAGTCACCGTGTTGTGCAACCACCACGTCTAGCTGGCTCCGAACCATTTTCATCACCCTGCTATGGACTGACTGCTGGTGCCCCCCTAGGTTATGATGCTGAAGCCCTAACCCCTAGTGAGACTGTGAGTTGGGGATGGGTCCTCTGTAACAGAAACTGAGGTTACATGAGGTCATATGGGTGGGGCCCTCGTCAGATGGGATTAGTGTCCTTATAAGAAGAGACACTGTGAACTTGCTCTCTCTCCTCACTAGGAAAGGCCATAGCAAAAAGGCGGCTGCCTATAAAGAAGAGGAGAGCTCTCACCAGGCTGGACTCCCAGCCTCCAGAACTGTGATAAGTTAAATTTCTGCTGTTTTAAGCCTATTTTTTTTTACTGTTACAGCAACCCACGGAGATGAATACACACTCTCCACCAGAAGAAACCCCGTGCTCATTAAGCAGTTACTCCCCCCCCAAGCAGAGGCCTTGATCAAAGCCACATGTGGTTGGCAAAGCCCTGCCACTGAGGGATTTCAAGCCATGCAGGCAGGGCCGGGCTCGTTTAACACTGCAGCTCGCTGACGGCTGCAGCATCCGCTGCCTTCCTCTGCGGCTCACTTCCTCTCAGGAGGGAGTCAGACACTGCCCTGGAGGGAGGTCCCACCAGACGGAAGACTCCAGGGACCTTCAACGCTAACTTCCTGAGCCGTTGTTTTTATTATTGGGATGAAATTTCATTCAGAACGATCGCACTTAGCCCAGTCACCCTGTTGTGCAACCACCACGTCTAGCTGGTTCCGAACCATTTTCATAGCCCTGCTGTGGACTGAATGCTGGTGCCCCCCTAGGTTACGATGTTGAAGCCCTAACCCCTAGTGTGACTGTGAGTTGGGGATGGGTCTTCTGTAACAGAAACTGAGGTTACCTGAGGTCATATGGGTGGGGCCCTGGTCAGACGGGATTAGTGTCCTTATAAGAAGAGACACTGTGAACTTGCTCTCTCTCCTCACTAGGAAAGGCCATAGCAAAAAGGCGGCTGCCTATAAAGAAGAGGAGAGCTCTCACCAGGCTGGACTCCCAGCCTCCAGAACTGTGATAAGTTAAATTTCTGCTGTTTTAAGCCAGGTTTAAGCCTATTTTTTCACTGTTACAGCAACCCACAGAGATGAATACACGCCCTCCACCAGAAGAAACCCCGTGCTCATTAAGCAGTCACTCCCCATTCCCTTTTCTCCCTAAACTCAGACAACCACCATTCTGTCTTACGAATTTGTCTGTCTGGACATTTCACATAAATGGAATCATAGAATATGCAACCTCTGTGTCTTGCTTCTCACACTTCATCCACACAGTAGTGTGGGTCAGTACGTCATTCATTTTTATGGCTGAATAATCCCATCCTATATCCATATATCCAATGTGGACACACCATAATTTGTCTGTCCATTCATCCCTGATGGACATTTGGGTTGTTGCTAACTTTTGGCTCCTGTGAAGTGGGTGCTATGGACATTCGTGTGCATGTATTTGTCTGAGTATCTGCTTTCAGTTCTTTTGGGGTCTCAGCCTGTGAGAGGAACTGCAGGGTCACAGTAATTCTAGGCTCAGTTTTCTGAGGCACTGCAAGCTGTGTTTCTACAGTGGCTGCACAGTTACACTCCCACCTGCAGCCCAAACGCTCTGTAACAAGGCCGAGCAGAAAAGGCGCCGTCTTCCTTCCACCAGGGATCCCCCTGTGGCTGGGAGTGTGGGCTGAGTCTCCCCAGCCCAGGTCCCACCCAAGGAGGTCTGGACTGTCGCAGCTGGAAGGGGAGGGGGGCCTGGGCCTCAGGCCCACAGGGGAGAATTCTAAACAAGCGGCCAGGTGCGGAATCCCCTCACACCCAGGTTCCTACCAGCCTGCCCTCAGGGAAGCAGGTGCGGCATCTGGGGGCTGATGCCCAGCTACCAGGGGCCAGGGCCGAGGCGGTCCAGCATATGGCAGGAGGCCCTTGGCCATGAGAGAGAAAACAATGTGGAAGTGCTAGCCTTGAGCATGCATGCCCACACCTGGGTCACAGGTCCCCACCTTGAGCATGCATGCCTACTGTGAGCCAGGCCTATGGAGACTTCCCCTCCAATGGACCCATGACAATAATCAGTGATAAGTAAAAAGGGATTCCCCCCGCCCCCCGAGTGTCTCCTCTTCCTCCCACTCCCATCGCTGTCCTCCCCACTCACCCTTCCTCCTGTGCGGCCAAGGAGTTCTGAGAGAGCTTAGCTAAGTTCTTCGCATATTCTTCTTCAATCTTTATCCTGCAAGGGGAGAAAACCCAACAGGTCAGCTCCCCAGTGCTGGTTGGTGGGTCCAACCTACAGCCCTGCTGCTTAATAACCATGTAAAGGAACCCACTAGACCATATGCCCTGAGAGTGCATGGCTCTTGTCTGTCTGGCACACAGTAGGTGCTTAGTAAATTATCTGTTGAATGAATGAATGTGCAAAATTGTCCGAACCTCCCTGTCTGCTCATCTGCAAAATGGGCTATTCCCAGCTGTCTACCGGGTCGTGAAGATGCAAAGCTGTCATCTGCACAGCTCCTGACACGGGGCTGGACACATGGAGACCCTTAAACGGGTGAATGTAACTCATGATGGACCACCGTGCTGGATGCCCAGTGCTGCTCTTCCCCTGCCAGCCCCAGAGTTCTGCGTTTAGACCCTCCAGGGTGGCATCGGCCCCTCAGAAGCAGAACAGGACTGCTCCCTATCGTCTCCCAGCCCCCAATGCCTCTCATGGCCAGGCCTGCAGGGCACCCGTGTTTCCATGGAGACCAGGTGGTGCCCAGAGCTGGCTGATTCCACTTCCCCAGAGAGGGAAGTCGCCTTGGACTTGGCTTGCAGCAGGCAGGCCCTTGACACACTTTCAAGGCAACTCTCCCGGGCGTGTCCTGGATCGTCTGCCGCCTCTGCATGCAATGTGCTGTGGAGGTACTGCGCCCTGGTCCATCCCTCGGCAAACGGAAAAGCCCAGAGACGCTCGGGGCGGCAGCACCTGCTTCTCAAGGGCCACGAGGGTGTCTGCGGGGCGGCCTACCACGTCCCAGGGCAACATCTGAGTGATGGTGGTTCCCTGGCGTGGCGCTGAGAGGCCCACAGCCTGCTCCTGCTCACACTGCTCTGCTGCCAGTGCCACCTCTGGCTGGTCTCGGGGTCTCACCGCTCCCTCCCATTCACTCTGCCTGAGCCCCTGAGCTCCCAGGGTGACCGGCCCGCCAGCCTGCGGCCCCCAGCCTGTGACCAAGAGATCACTCTAGAAAGCAGATCAAACCACGTCATACTCCAGACTGCAAATCTCCCCGGGCTCCCCATGACATCCAGGCGTGAGGCCCGTCTGCTTCAGCATGTCACAGCCACAGCCACGGCCACGGCCACGGCCAGTGCCCGCCTCACCCCCACATCTGCCAGCTTCCTACACTGAGGCCACAGCAAAGCCCCAGCCCTCAGCCCTTGGCCCACACGCCCCCGCCTGTGCCCCGCTGCCCCTCTCCTGGCTCTGAGGCTCCCGATGCGACCCCAAGGTGGACTGAGAGAAACTGTGTGTCTCAGGAAACACCAGCGCTCTCAGACTGTAGGCTCCATTTATTTGCCAACATGACACCTTTATGACAGTATAAACCATAGTGTGCTCGAACTTCGGCTTTTACAACCATGTTCCTACTCGCCTGTTTTATGCTGTTGTTTTCTTGCACCTGAGCTACGCAACCTCTCAGTTCTCTGCCGGTTTAACGGGTCATAAAATAATGATTTCATTAAACAAACAGAAAACGGGGCCCCGAAGGAAAAGGGGTGCTTTAAGATGCTACAGAATTATTACTCGATAGTTCTTGTTATAATTAAAAAATAAAAAGTGTAAAAATAAATAAATAAATAGTGTAAATATATTGCCATTTACTAAATATTTCCAGTGTATCTGGGAAACTCCAGATAGGAAGCTGTGTGTGTGTGTGTGTGTGAGCACACGTGTGTATGCGAGCACACATGCATGTGAGAGCATACATGTATGTCTGAGCACACATGCATGTGTGCAGACACACGTATGTGAGCACATGCAAACATGTGGGGGGGTAAGGTGCATGTGGCGGTGGATGTGTGAGGTGTGTGGGTGTGTGAGGTGCACTTAAGTATTTCCAGTGTATCTGGGAAACTCCAGATAGAAAGCTGTGTGTGTGTGTGAGCACACATGTGTATGTGAGCACACATGCATGTGAGCACATGCAAACATGTGTGTGGGGTAAGGTGCATGTGGTGGTGGGTGTGAGGTGTGTGGGTGTGTGAGGTGCACTTAACGGGGTTTCCGAACTTGGAGGGGACAGAAAAGGAACTTTGTCTTTTTATAGCTTTTCATCTTTCCATCCCGGCCAATTCACTGTCCCCTCCCCTGTGTTCATCGGAACCACTATTCTAACCCCTGCACTTCCTTTCCAAAAGCACCTCACCTGACTCTCCCAGTACCCTGAGCTCCTGAGGCAGGGAGGGTGTGTGTGGGGGGGGTGGGGGGCGCGGTGGGTTCTGTAAGCCCAGGTCCAGGACACAGATTTGGTTCCAAGATTAACTGGAAGGTAACATTCTCCCTTTTCTCATGCTAAGGGGCGGTGCTCCAAATGAGGGCCATGGAGGTGGAGGAGCTGAGCAGCCTGTGTGGGGACAGCAGGGAGTGGTGGAGATGACGGCGAACTGGGAACACATGCTCCCCTACAGAGGCTGCGGCCACTCAGCTCCAGCCAGTGCCACCTGAGGGATGCGGAGCCACTGCTGCCAGACTTCCCGCTTTCTCCAGAGACGCCAGACTTTAACGTAAAAACCGACCAACTTAACAAATGGTCTTTCAAACCTTTAAAAACACGACACAGGCCAGAACCACACATGGCCCGAGGGCCGTGAGTTGTGTGGTTCTAGTCTCATGCTCCCCTTGGTGCTAACCAAGCCCAGCGCTGGGGGTGCAGGGTCACCCCTGCCACTCACTCCCCTCAGGCTAAGGGCCCGCCACAGGCCCTGCCACTCACTGCCCTCAGGCTAAGGGGCCGCCACAGGCCCAGTCATCCCTGACCTGAGCTGGGGGGGGCTCACCTCTCCCGAATGAATTCCGACATCTCCTTCTGCATCTGCTTGCCCTTCAGCTGTTTCTGAAGCAGCAGTTCAAACCCAGCCACGTTGCCGTTGCCCTGGGGGTCCTTCTTATCAGCCTAGAAAGGAAGCAGAGTGGGAGCTTCAGGGATGGGGGACGTGGGGACAGAGGGTGGAGCACAGGGCAGACCCACCCAGAAGGGACCAGGACACCTGGGAACCCTGCCCGCAGCCCGAGAGGGAGGACAGGGGCGGCTTCGCTGCCTGACCCGTGCGTGTCTCCTGGTGCCCCGCTCCCACGGGCCCTCTGATGCGTAAGCCACCCCCTGCCCCTCAACCGCCCAACCTGGAAAGCAGGGGAAGGGCAGGTGGCCGAGAGCACAGGCTCTGATCCCCAAGGGCCCATCCCTTCCAACCAGGGGCTGCCGAGGCTGGGGGGCCCTCGGGGGGGTCCTGGCATCCTGACTCTAAGCTGTGACCATCTGTGACTTGGGGTCCTCTGTCCCTAATCCTACCCCATCCCATCTCCTCTCAGCTTCTTGCCCTGGCCGGGCAGCGCCATCTTCCAATGCACCTTCACCAAGGGTCAGAGAGGCCCCTGAGAGAAGCCGGATTAGAGGAGGCCAGAGTGGACGAGGGCGGGCGCCCGGGCTGACATGGGGGGGGCGGGGGTCTCAGGAGCAAGTCTCCAGCCTGAGCTGCTCGCCTGGGATGAACCACCCGTGGAAATGGCCGAGCACAATGCTCAGAGGAGACTACGTGCTCAGTGAACAGCAGCTACTAGGAGCTCCTTTCAAGTAAAAGTCAGGACTCAGAAAAGATGGCAAGTCAATGAAATGGAAACATAGTACCCCATTCATTTTGCAAGCAATTCTCTTAAAGTTTCAAAATTAGAAGGTTTAGCTGTGTTTGGCCTGCACTTTCTCAAGGACGCCTGTGCCTCCCTTTCCTGCCACCCCCCACTCCAGTCCACCTCCTGCCTGCTGCCCGCCATGGTCTTCCCTACGGGACATTCATCAGGCACCTGCCCTCACAGCTCTCAGAGCCGCCCAGTCCTGGGTGGGCCTCCTCCATCCCAGCCTTTACCACCAGGAACCAGGGTCAAATGCTTTGGTATTTAATGGAAGGAGTTAAAAGTATGGCCTGCGACCTCACAGACAGGTGCAGGCTCAGCTCAGCCACTGCGTGACCCGGTCGGGGCTTCCCCAGCCTGGTGCATCCTCAGGCCCCGCCCCTTGAAATGGGAACGGGTTGCACCTCTAAGACCCCAGAATGGACACTTTAGGAGAGGGGAATGGGAAGGGGTGGTGATGCCCAGCCGGCGTGGCTCAGTGGTTGTTGAGGTGAGTGTCGACCTATGAACCACGAGGTCACGGTTGATTCCCGGTCAGGGCACATGCCTGGGTTGCGGACTCGATCCCCAGTGTAGGGTGTGCAGGAGGCAGCTGATTGATGATTCTCTCTCATCATTGATGCTTCTATCTCTCTCTCTCCATCTCCCTTCCTCTCCCTTCCTCTCTGAAATCAGTACAAATACTATATAATGAAAGGGTAGTATGTAAATGGTCCCGGCGACCAGAAGTTCGTCTGGAGTTCGACCAGGGGCGGGGCCAGCTGGGGGAAGGGAGGGAGTACCCGGTGGTCAGCGGCAGCCGCTAGGGACCCTACCAGTGCACGAATTTCATGCACTGGGGCCTCTAGTATAAAAGAAAAGAAAATGCTCAAGACTTCTACCAGTTTCTGAGGAGCTGGGCTGTGCATTTGTCAAGAGATGTTGACTTGTGGAAAAACACACATAACATGAATTTACCATCTTGGCCATTTTTAAGTGTGTAGTTCAGTGACATTAAGAGTTCACATTGTTGTACAACCATCACCACTATCATCTCCAGAACTTTTCTTTGTCCTCATTGAACAATTTGCAAAGGCCCTGGAACCCCAGAATCTGGAGCTCTCTACACATCCTTAAGCCCAACCTCCTGACTTCGACGGAAACAGGGAAGCCCCGGGGTGAGGCACCTGTCCCCGCTCGCCCACAAGTGACAAAGCAGGCCTGGAGCCCAGATTCCTTCCCTGGAGTGGACTCTAGTTTCCTGTCCTTACCCAGCAGCAGAGAAAGGGACCGCCCACCTTTCTTGCCTGGGTTTCCGTGTTTCCATGAATGAAAACCCTATTAATTCTCTGAGGCTTATGGAACATTCTGGACTCCAGAGGGTCTTAACTTCCCGTCTCAGATGCTAACTCTCCCACCAGACCTTTAGGTTTCAACAGGAGAGGCCCCTCTGCTTTGAGCTCAAGGCCCTTCATGCTCCCCCCCCACCCCCCGCCCAGGGGTTCATTCTTGGTCCTTGGGGCCACAGTGTGGGGGAAACTGAGGCACCACTTACCCAGAAATAGTCGCAATAGCTCCACTCGGTCGGTTTCAGCAGCTGCTGCTCGGGCATCGTGTCCGGGTGAGGGAATGTCACACAGTTGATCTGCAGGCACAGGACAGGGAGAAACGAGGGCTGAGGGCTGGGAGGCTGGGAGGGCTCTGCTCCCAGACACAGCACTGCAGAGGCGCTGGGCGGGTCAGCGTGAGAGAACGCACACCAGGATCTCGAGGTGCTCCAGGGCAAACATGTCAAATGGGGGCACCAGTACTCACCCCCACCCTAGAGGGCTGCCCTTGGTACAAACCCTCTGGAGGGCGGACTGACAGCATCTATCAAAACTGTCAACATCAGAACCTTCGGCCCAGCGAGTGCACTCGAAGAGTCTAGCCTACAGGTGCGTCTCACAGGTGTGCCCTGGCAGGGTGCCTCCCCCCAGCACCCTCTGTAACAGCAAAAGGCTAGACACAGGTCCTCTGTCCACCAGCAGGGGGTGGGGAAGCAAAGCAGAGACAGGCGGGCATCCAGGGAAGTGGCTTCCAAGCAGGGGGTGTCAGGACAGACTGAGTGGGGAGGGGAGGGAGCAGGCACAGGATATGACTGTATGCCGCCATTTGTGTTAAAGGGGAAGCATATACACCTTTGGTTATTTACCGATGGAATACCTCTGTGGCCAATAACACCGTTTGCTCCCGGGGAAAGGAGTTCTGTGGCCGAGGTCAGGGGTGAAGAGTCACCTTGTGAATTCGATCTCACACAATGTATTCTACGAACAGAGAGGCTGCGGTGCTCACCCGGGAGCCTGCTGGACAGTGCAGTGCAGATGCTGGGATGGGCTCAGACCCCTGGCTGAGGTGGTCCTGCAGCCCTGCTCTCCCTGCCTGGCGGAGTGGCTTTCTACTGCTCCTGCTGATGTCGAGTCCAGCCGGGACCCCTCCATGGAGCCCGGTCCCTCCCACGGAGCCGGCTAATTTGTGTTCCTTGTGGGAGCCGCAGAGTCCCAACAGGCCTGAGCCCCGCCCTGGCCGTCTTTAACCCCTCACTGCGCCCCAGCTGCTGAAGTGGAGCCGCACGCAGTCCAGGTAAGAACAGTGCAGAAAAGCCCCAGGCTTCGAACAGAGGCACAAACTCCGAGGCCAGGCAGCTCACACAACAAGGGAGGTGCCCTGTGTCAGGAGCTGCAGCTCAGGGCGGGGCAGGAAAGACCAGCCTCTGCTTCGGGAAGGGGTGGGGGTCTACAGAGCTCCACCTGAGCCCAAAGGGCGGACTGCTCTCACCCCCATCAACTGTTATCAAGACAGAGTGAGGAGCCCACCCTTGTCAGGTTATGCGATGACCGAGGAGCTTCGGGAATTTGACGTGAAGTGCCTCAGTTTTGAAATGTTGGCCAGTGAATCCAAGGCTAAGAGTAATGATGTCAATAACAATGTAGGGAGGCCAGCCCCTCTGCCCGCTGGGTCAGGCCCGTGGGCCCCAGCCATGGCCTGTTCCAGGGGCGGGAGGGCGGCTGGAAGTAAATCCACCCTCCCAAACCCCTGCCCCGCTGGCTGCCGGGGGCCAGGCCTCGCTTGTGGTCCTGCAAGGAGAGCGTGGGAGAGTCCAGCCAAGAGAAGGAGCCCCTCCCCCCAGAAATGGGGCTGAAGTCTGGGGGGAGGGGCTCCCCCCCTGAAGGAAGCATGACTTGTGGAAAAACACACAAGAGCAGTGCAGTCAAGTGGAGAAGCGGAAAAATGCGGGACAAACTTCGCAGACAGACTGCACACTACCATGAAGTTAGCTCAGCGACTGTCCACTGGGGGGCTGTCCCCTCCCCTGCCCCAGGGCACCTGGAGACCTGGAGACACTTTTGGTGGTCACACCTGGGGTGGGGGGGTGCTGCTGGCACCTGGTGGGCCCCAGCCATGGCCTGTTCTCTCCTGGTGGGGAGAGGCCAGGGATGCTGGTAAACACACATGGCCCAAACATCCCTGGTGACGAGTGGCACTGAATCCCACCAAGGCCAACGTGGAGGCCGAGGCACCCCCCGGGGCGGGGTGTTTTCTCCAATGCTGCTCCCACAGGGACCCCAGGTGCCAGTGATTGAGGTGAGTATCAACCTATGAACCAGGAGGTGCCAGCGGCCTGCGGGGCCAGCTTGGGGGAGGGCCAGCCTCTCCATGCCCAGGAGCGGGCAGAAGTCCCCAGGCCCCCTTTTCGGGCTTCTACCCCAAGGGGTGCTCATGGCTCTGGCGACCCCTGTGGCAGGGTCTCTCTCGCAGCAGCCATGGAAACGAGGGGTGGATTCTGAAGTCTCCCACAGTCCTCACTTCACGTGTTTCAACAAAGCACGGTGATCACAGTCCATCTTTATTTTACTTAATAATGCTGTCCGTGAAAATGTCACCCACATTTAATGATACGTTAGCCGACATTGGATTGAGGACTAAGAATCACGGAACTAGGAGGCTGGAGGCACTGGGGGTGGGACCAGCGTCTTCTCTAGCGTCGGGATCTGGAAGGCAAGGGGTCGGCCTGTGGCCCTGGAGCAGCCACTGAAGGAGAGTGAGCTGAGTTGGGGGAGGGAAGGGGGAGGTCAGGGAGGGTAAGGCCTCCTCCCTCGGTGGCTTCTGCCACTCTGTGGGGACACTGGTCCCGGGATGGACTGGCCTGGGGGCCCAGGGTGGCTGCTGCTGCCTCTGTCAGCTCCCAGCTCTCCCAGGGGGGTTTCTTCGCATCCTCAGAGCCCTGCGCCCCCTGGTGGGCGTCTCCGGAACCGCACCGGCTGCCCTACAGGAGGCAGTGGTGATGAATGCCTCCTGCAATTCCCGGGGAGCCCTCACCCAGGCGCCCTGCCAAGAGCTTCGCAGGGATCCTCACTTCATCTTCCCAGGAGCCCCACGGGCTGGGAAACACTGGCCTCGTTTGATGTGAGGAAGCGGAAGGTCGCCCAGGTACGTATTTGAATGCAGAGGATGACAGCAGAGCTCGCCCCTCAACCACCCTGCTGGCTGCTCAGTGGACTCCTGCTCGTCCACGTGCCACGTGGATGGTTCACGGAGGGTGCACGGGGCTAGACCCTCCAAGCACCCTGCACGTGTGCATTTGTAATCACACTTCCCGTGACTGTTCATTTCCCGTCTCTCTTCCTGCTCTCTCCCTGCTCTCTCCCGCGGGCCTGGCCCAGCTGGGCACCTGGCAGGGGCTCAGTGCTTCCCGGTGTGATGACTGGAGGCTGGAAACAGCAGGTAGAGTCCCCGCCCTCACGCTTTTACAGCCTCGTGAGGAAGGAATACAGGAATAAGTAACTGCAGTACTTTGGGAGGAATCTACCACTGGGTGAGCGTGGGGCACTGGGGCTGCGTGAAGGGGAGGGATCTCGGAGGGAGTGATATTCCGTTAACGTGCTGCTCTATGGCCGGGATCACAGTCAGGGAGCAGACAGCACTGAAGCCAGAGGGGACCTGTGGCATGAGGTGGGGCAGGGGGACATGGGGGGGAGCTAGGGGCACGGGAGCATCTGGCCAGGGACTCTCAGGTGAGCCATCCGCTGCAGCACGGAGAACACACAGGAGGGAGCCTGCAGCCGACCTCAGCCACCCGGGAGGCCCCGCAGTGACCAGGGGGCGTGGCGGTGGCTCAGAGCAGCCCAGTCAAGTGGAGAAGCGGAAAAATGCAGGAGAGACTTCGCAGACAGACTGCACACTACCATGAAGGTAGCTCAGCGACTGTCCACTGGGGGGCTGTTCCCTCCCCTGCCCCGGGGCACCTGGCGACCTGGAGACACTGTTGGTGGTCACACCTGTGTGTGTGTGGGGGGGGGGGTTGCTGCTGGCACCTGGTGGGGAGAGGCCAGGGACGCTGGTAAACACCCTACAATACACAGGGCGACTCTGCACCCTGCCCGCCTGCCTCCGGCCTGAGGTGAACGGCAGCCACAGGCCCAGGTCAAGTCGGGGGCTCTGCCAGTCCCCCCACCCTCAGTTTCCCCAGCAATCATTCCCCATGGTTTACCTAAAACCCTGGGGGTGTTGGTTACATCGCAAACCTTCCAGCCAGGCCCCCGAGAGATGAACTGTAGTCTAAGGTCCCACGAAGGGACCCTGCATTTTAACAGGCATCGCAGCGGCCTCAGGGCCCACCTCACGTGGCAGCCTGGCTCCCGAGAAGCGGGAAGCGCTGAGTTAAGTGGGCGGGAATCGGGAGGGGAGGCACAGGCAGAGATGGGCAAGGTGTGCTGGCCAGGAGATCCCGGCCCTGCCCCCCACCCCCCACAACCAGGGCCCGAGGCCCGGCTCCAAGCAGCACCGCAGGGAGCGAGGCCCATCTGCTGGCCTGGGCACCGGCACCGAAGGCCCGTCAGGCAACGCGGGCGGCCCCATTCTGTTTCCCGCTCTTCATTTCTCCTTTTCACTTACCTTCTACAATTCCACCACCCCCCCCAATCCTTCTCCCTCTCTCCCCCATTTCTGGAAACTTTTGGGAGTTCCTGCTCTGCTCCAGCACTCTAGGCATTCTGTGGCAATTTGAAGATTTGCCTTTGAAGTCTGCCCATGCCCTGCCCCATCAGCTCCAGCAACAAGGAAGCTGCTGATGACCCGTCCATTGGGGCTGAGCCACCCTGCCTGCCCAGGAGGCAATGTCCACTGTGTGTGTCGGGGGGTGGGGGGTCGGGGAGAGGTAACAGCACAGGTCTGGAATCCTAATGGCTCCCAGCTGTGTGGCCTTGGCGGGCTGTGGCTCTGTTCCCCAGTTTCCTCATCTGTAAACAGGGTGGTGAGACTATGAATGTGCACGGAGCACTCACCATGTGCCAGGCCCGTTTTAAGTGCTTTCCTCACGCGGACTCAGTCCTCACACCGTCCCTGTGGCCCGGATACCCACCACCTCCCACTGCACAGAGGTGGACACTGAGACACAAAGACACAGGGGGCCCTGCCCCCGGCCGCTGTGCAGCAGGCAGGCCTGCACCGTGCACTCTGGCTTCAGAGCCCAGGTTCACGGTCACCACACCACTCTGGTCCCCGCGCCCCCGCCGCACAGGGTGTGGAGGCGAAGCGAGCAGCGCCGAACACGGCTTATGCCTTAGAAACGCACACAAGAGTGGCAGCAGTGATTGCCGTTATTGTTTGCCTAACCATTTTCCCTTCCACGCAGGACTGTCAGCCTGCATGAGCCAGGGCGTGCACCCACTCTCGGCTTCACCACGGTGGGGGTGGCCGGAATGCTCAGAAGTGCGCGTGACGGAGCCCGAGAGGGAGCCCCCGTTCCCAGCTCTGCTGCGCTTGTGTCAAAACGGCACAGCCAGGACCACACTTCTCACTTCTCCAAGGCCTTAGCTGTATAAGCACCTGGGCACCTCACCTGCCCACCTGCAGGGGGCACTGCTGGCCAGCGCCCCTTTCCCAGGCACAGGGTTCATGGGATGCTGCTCATGGGGGCTTGCGGCTGCGGGAAGGGCTCTGGGAGGCGGTGTGGCCACTCCAGGGAGAAACCGCTTGCTTCCTGCCAGGAACTCCCGGGAACTCTATTCTTAGGGATCTTTCTCTTGCTTTTAACTCTGACATCTTCCAGAAGTTACCCGGCACAGACGCAACCCTGCCATGGCTGTAATTTGCTCGTCACGTCGCTTGCACAGAGCGCCGTCCACCCCCTCACCCACTCCCGCCCACCCTGCAGAAATGGCTCCTGCCTCATTCCAGCCTCCATCCTTCTCCTCGCTCCCCCGCCCCCCCCCCCCCCCGAGAGAAACGTGAGGGGTGACATCGACAGAAGGGGGGACCCACGGGGAACTCTGGCTGCATCCAAGCTTTGGAACTTCCCAGTTCCAGGCTGGGCATCCCTTCCACGCTCTGTCCACGTTGTCATGGCAACAGCCCATCTGTGGCCGAAAGCCCCAGTTTGCTGCCCAGCCGGTGAGCACTCGGGGGGAGCCACTTACCGTGATGGTGTTCTCCTTGCTCTGCTTTTTGCCTGGCGACGAGGACCCCAGGTTCTGGAAGGAGAGATAAGAAGCATCGTCAGAGCTGTCCTCCATCCTGGACTCACTCCCACTCCGGTCCCCCGAAGGCGGTGGGCTGGTGACAAGCGCGTGCTGGGAAGTTCGGGATGTTCCGCCTGCCGCGGACCCTAAGTCACCATCGTCTGGGAGAGGCGGCGGGAGGACCCCTGACCCCACTCTGCTCCTGTTTCCTGTGCCCTAGGCTGGGAGGCTGGGGGAACCGCTCCAAACCAGGCGGCCTCCTCTTCTCTACGGTTCGGGAGTTAACCCTCAGCTGCCCTCTGCTGGTGAGCGGCTCCGGGTGCGCTCGCTGCCTGCACCTGCAGAATCCACTGGGGAGCAGAGAGTTAAGGCAGGAGGCAGGCGGCAGGCCACCACCTCCTGGCACAGGCACCAGGATGCCCAGCAACAGCTTCATCTGGACCTGGGGTGGACACATCCAGCCCTGTATCCATCCATCCGTGCCCTGTGCCCTGGGGCTCAGCCAGCTCCCTGCTCCCCAGCCCCGGAGCAGCACAGATCTCAGCTGAAAGCGGTGGGTCAGCCTCCACTCAGACTTTAAATTGCCTGTTGTCTTTCCGCTGCCCGCAACCAGACCACTATCCCAGTGCCTCCGGGCCCACCGTCCTCAGCAGCCCCCCTCCCCCCGGCGGAGGATGGTGCTGGGTCAGAACACGAGGAGGGCTGGCTGAAAACGCCACAAGAGCCTGGGAGCCTAAAGGGGGGGTCAGCTCTGGGTCTCGCCGTCGCACTCGCAGCAGTGACATCAGGGAGTCGGCAGGGCCTCCAGGCAGGACGGCGGTGCCCGCTCCTGTCCCGAGCCTCGCCCGGCCTGGCGCAGGCTCACCCCGAGGCACGCATGCCCTTTCTCTAGTGGAGCGTAAGGAAGCAGCTGTCAGATTTTTCAGATAAAGTCCCAGAAAAAGCCTGGAGGGGCCACTCCAGCAAGCCCCTGGGACCTGACAGCCCCCCACCCACGGGGCGGGAATGGCTTCTGGGGGGACAGAGCGGGGTCAGCCTGCCTCAGGGACCTGTCTCTGCTAACCCAGCAACACAGGGAGCTACCAGAGTCCCTGCTCACGGTCTCCTCGGCCCCTCCCTCCCTCTCTCCCTCCCAGACCTACTCTGGCTGGTAACTAAAATCAACTAATCAAACCGTCCACCAAGACGGTCCAGATAACAAGGGCCGCACAGGTCATCGCTCTCACAGACAAGAGAATGAACTCGCTGGCCTTCGCATCCTGCCCAGTGAGTGACTTCTCTGGGCCTCAGTTTCACCATTTGTTACCGACGGTCCTCAGGCTTCGGGTGCGTCAGAATCAACTGAGCCCCAGCCGTGTCTCCCAGGGTTCCCGGTCCCGCAGGCTCGGGTGGGCTGGCACCTCTCTGGGAGGTGCCCGGTCTATGTTCTGCCACTCCATCAGGCGCCCCACTTCCGGCAGCTCCTCCAGCAGCCCTCCCAGGACCTGGGGCAAGAGCATGCTGGGGACCAATCAGCTTCTGCCCATGTTTTTAACGCACCCACTCATCCAGCTCACCCACCCTGGACCCTCCCGAGTTATCAGTTCTGCCCCCGGGCACTTGCCAAAATGGGGCCGCCCAGGAGGAAGGCATGGCGGGCACCCAGGTGCCACTCTCCAAGGAGAGGAGACAGGTGCAGGGCCCTCTCGAGGGCTCATTTGTGCGAGGCATGGGCCAAGCAAACACAGCTGACCCCTGGCCAACACGGATTTGACTGCACGGGTCCGCCTGTACACAGATGTCCTTTTTCAATAAATATACGGTCTGCCCTCCTTATCCCAGGCCTCACACCCTCAGGTTCAAGCAGTATTTCTCATCTGTGGCTGGGAATCCCACGACACAAATGCAGGCGAGCTGTGTGCACCCACGGCCACGGCTCTGCGCCACGTTATAGAAGGGACTTGCATATGCGAGGGTTCTGGTGACCACTGGGCTCCTGGAACCAATCGCCCGCAGATACCGAGGGGCTGTAGATACTAGCAAGTTTGTGGGGAGTCAAAAGTTACATGTGGATTTTCGACTGTGCAGGGACTCAGCGCCCGGACCCTCCCCCCCGCCCCGCCCCTCACTGCACTGTCCAGGCGGAACTGTCCCCGAGGGTGAAGGCGGGAGGGGTCTCTGTGGCGGGTTCTGCAGTTTGCAGGGTCTCCCTGTCGTCGACACCGGGTGCCCTCACTCCAGCCACCAGGAGGGCAGCGGCGCAGGCTCCGGCAGCCCTGGCCACAGCCTGCAGTCGGTGTCGGTGCTGAGGGGATGGGACGAGGAGGACAAGGGGCACCCTGGCAGAGGGAGGAAGCCCTGCCACCCGGGCTTGCTTACGAAGCGGACACCAGGCTAAGCCTGTGGCACCAGCACGTTCGAGGCACCGCCTGCACTTTACAGAAGGTAAAACGGAGGCTGGCAGACCGACGACTTGTCCACGGCCACAGGCACGTAAGTAGGCGACATCGGAAGCCAAGCCTGACTAACCCCTCCTCTGCCTCCCGCCATCTCTCCCCCTGAGACCGGGACCCTCTTGTTCTCCAGGTGTCTGCAGGGGTCAAAGATCTCCATCGCCCACAAGCACTGATTTTGGAATCACTGTGTCCAAGGCTCTATGCAATGAGGCTCACACAGAGGTCACCTCCTCCCATGACTTGGGCCAGGACGGGAGGGCAAGGACTAGGACGTGGGGCAGGGATGGGCGCTCTAAGTGTGGGCGTCAGCACCTTCCCATCTCCGTCCCTAGCTGTGCATCCCAGCCAGTGCTGGGTGGGGTCTCAGGCTCTCTGGGGTGGTCTCAGGCTCTATGTTTGCAGCTGATGACTACTGTCCCAATGTCATATACATATACATAGAAACATGTCATATACATGCATCATATACACATACATGTAACACACACACACACACACACACACACACACACACACACACCCTGCAGCACTCCCCTGAAAGGGCGCAGAAGGAAAGACCACTCAGGCACAGTGAGAACCCCTACTAGCTAAGGGTTGGTTTCTAAATGCTACTCCCCCTAGAGGGACTCAGGCTCCTTGGGAAGTGGCCAATTCCAAAGGCCCGGGCCAGCCCAGAACACCTTATTCTAAAAATGATGTGATATAAATAAAAGGACACCGAGGCCAGCTTCCAGGGCCCCACAAGCCAAATTTGGGACAATCTGAACACGAATAGGAAAAACGACCACAGATGATTAACTCCAAAAGCGGTGATGGGTGAGGGGAGGGCAGCAGTCTTCACAGAAAAATCTATGAAGAATTGGCAAATCACCATTTGCAAACCCCAACGTCAAAACAGACTCAGGCCTCGCTCATCAAGGATGCCCGACGCACTCGGTGAAGGCTGTCAGGGACCAGGATCCCCACACGCTCTCAGCCCATCGCCCCGCAGACGGTGACAAATCACCAAGTCGGAAGGTGCCCCCTGAAGGAGAAATGTGGCCATCGCCATACTGAGAGCTCACACTCAGCACCCCGCAGGTGTGACCTGGGAGCGTGTGGATCCAGACGTACACGTGAGAAGCACGCAGCGGGCCCCGGGTGGCATTGTGGCCAAGCGGCCGAGCCCGGGCCGGAGCATAAGAAAGCAATTGGACCAAGAATGTAGGCCCTTCTACAAGACAACCGAGCTGGACTCCTTCCCAAAAAAGGCAGCGTGAGGAAAGACAAAAGAACAAATGTGTAGAAAATATAAGAGAGACTGAAGTGATAATTCAGACAGAACATACTTCCATGCACTGGAATACCATTTGGCTATACAAGAAAGAATGAAGGGCTGATACATGCTACAACATTAATGGGCCGTGAAACGCTATGAGAGAAGCCAGACACAGAAGACCATATGGTATGACTCCATTGATGTGCAATCTCCAGAACAGGCAAACCTGTGGAGACAGGAAGTAGCTTAGTGGCTGCCTAAGGCTTAGGGGGGATTCTTTTTGGGGTGATGAAATATTTTAAAATTCATCGTGATGATGATGATGGTGCAACTTGGTGACTATTGCACACTAAAAACCAGTGCGTTGGACACTTAAAATGGGTGAATTACGTGATAAGTAAATTATATCTCAATAACGATGTCTTAGAAAGAGAAACTAAAGAGCTAGAGCAACCAATATATCCAGGCGTGAGACCTGAATGGGCCCTGGATTGCGGAGGAAAGCAGGGAGAAAAGCCATTTTGAGGGCAATGGTGAATTTGAATGTGGATTATATGCATCAGATGATATGATTGAATTAATGTGTCCTTAAGTGTGTTATCGGTATTGTGGCTATGTCTTCCCCTTTGGACACATTATAAAACGTTTACAGTTAAAACGGTATGTCAGGAATTTGCTTTACAATAATCCCAGTGGGGCCAGGGGGAAGGACTGGGAAAATAAATGAGACAGGACTGGCTGAATAACTGTCGAAGGCAAATGACTGGCCTGCGGCCCTTTATTGGAGTAATACTTCTGCTTCTATAAATGTTGGCAAATGTCCATAGCAAAGTGCTGTTTTTTTTTTTTTTGCTTTTTAGTGCCCTTTGCCTATGATTCTAGAAAGCTTTTCTCCTTCCCTTTTTTAAACCCCTCCCCAGCCTGGTCTCCCAACCTCGCCTGAGCCGCTCTGCTGTCCCTGTGCGGTGAGGACCGGCTGACGACAGTGGTTGGTACGTTGCAGCGAGGGATGGAGGGGTCATTCACAACTGACTCACAGCCCCCCCTCTGCGTGCCTCCCTGCCCTGTCTCCTTGCCCTGTGAGTAGTCTGGGTCCCACCCCTCGGTGGGTAGGACCCAGTAGGAATCCTTCAGTGGCTCCCAGCACCATTGGGACAAAATCCAAGCTCCTTCCCACAGGCCTGGTCAGATGCTCCAGCCTCACCTCCCCCGCTCCCCCCACCTGCTAATTAGTGAAACGCAGCCCACACGGCCTCTATGGGTCCTCCGAAATGCTGCCTCCAGGCACCCGCAGGTCCTGTTCCCTTCACACGTGCTGTTCCCTGCACCTGGACTGCTGTTTGCCCACCTGTTTGCTCAGCTTCCGTTTTGGCTTAAGTACCTTTGCTTAAGGAGTCTTTCTCTCCCTGACATTCCCACTACGACATGCCACCACCCGCCAGGCCCTGTGGCACTCTCCCTCCAGCTCCATCACTGCTGAAGGGAAACCATCCCTTCCCTCCTGTCTTTCTCCAGCCCCAGCTGTGACCCTGCATCAGGGCAGGGGCTACGCCAGCCTGTGACCCGGTGCCCGGCAAAGAACAATATACAGAATAGAACAAGTGTCAGTGAGGGGGGCGTGGAGTAAGCAAATGAACTCTCAGCATTTCACCTCTTTTCTACCCCAAACAGGTCCTTCCATCCATCCCCTTTCCCCTCGCCTGTGCCTTCCTGAGGGCAGGTTCAAGGAAAGCCAGAACCATGGAAAGGTGGGTCAGAAAAGGCCTGGGCACTGGTGGGCAGGTCCCTTGCCCCCCTCACACCTGCTAAGAGGTCTGAGAGGGTCCCACCACCACAGCCCCGGTAGCCAGGCAGGCAGGGGACAGGCTAGGAGGTGCTCTACCAAGGCCAGCAAGACTATCAGCCTTCGATACTTGGACTGTGCAACCAGGTAGGCAGGCCCCAGTACCCAGTAGCCAGGCAGCCTACCCAGGGCTGCAGACTTGAAAACTTCCACTGGGTGGCGCCAGATCATCACCACTCATGCCAAGCCAGGATGGTCTCCCAGGGGCTGCGAGAAGGAGGGGCAGGCATCCTGGGGTTGTTGGACACCCAGCCATCAGTCCTGCCCACCACAGGGCAGAGCGGGACACACTGCTGGTTTCCATGAAGATTGGGTCTGCACCCCGCCCCCCCCAAATTCTAATTTTCCTGATGAGCTTGTTCAAAGAGAGGCACTACCAAATAGCAGAAAAGAACATAAGGGTGGGAGGGGGCTTGAGCGAGCTACTTGGTGCACCCCCACCCTCCATCGCAAATAGCCACGTGTTCACTTGCTCATTCATTCATCAAGTATTAAGTCGTAACTGTTATTAATGGTAACTGACAGCCCGGGGTGGTGAGTCACTGCCACGCAGGCCGAGGAGAGCTGGATATACTCCGGGGATCACCGCGGTAGCACCCTCTGTAGGTGCCAAACCTTTGTGTCCTCTTCCCAGGCCTGGCCTCTAGCCCCCTGTGGATGCCAGCCCGCACCCCACAAAGCCTCTCCCAGCCTCAGAGGACAATGCTCTAGTCCAGTGGTTCTCAACCTTCTGGCCCTTTAAATACAGTTCCTCATGTTGGGACCCAACCATAAAATTATTCTCGTTGCTACTTCATCACTGTCATGTTGCTACTGTTATGAATCGTCATGTAAATATCTGAGATGCAGGATGGTCTTAGGCTTCCCCTGTGAAAGGGTCGTTCGACGGCCAAAGGGGTCGCGACCCACAGGTTGAGAACCGCTGCTCTAGTCTATTATCTCGCAGCCTGGGAACCTGGGCATACGTGCGCTTGCCCCTCCATGCACTGCACGATTGCCCCTCATATCCTTGATGATACTTCCACTGTCAACATCATCATCCATAAGAACACACGCAACTCCCCGTGTCTGACCAACGCAGCCTGCCCAGGCCTGGGTCCCCGGCGCTCACCTTCCCTGCACCCCAATACCAGCACCCTAACTTCTTCTTAAAGAAAAATAATGCTCATTCTACCTGCCTTCTATAAAAGTAAAATGTGTTCATTTCAGGAAACTTGAAAAACCATGGAAAGTATAAAGAAAATAAACACCACCAAGACCAAGGCGTCCCAACCTCAGTGCCATTCATGCTTTCAAACCGGAATCATCTTTTCGTGACAAGGACTGACCTGTGCACTGTGGGATGGTTAGTAATACCACTGACCCCTCCTACCTGGAAGCCAGCAGCACCCCCGCCCCAGCTGTGACAACCACAACGTCCCCAAACCTTGCCAAATGTCCCCCGACTGAGAGCCACAGTCTCAGGCAGATCGAACCACGAACCATGTCTGGTCTGTTTTTCCTCGTGAGTTATCTCCCACACATAGACTTCCTCCCCCAAATGAGACCAGCTGTATATGCAGGTTGTGCTGTGCTTTTCCACTCGATATTATGTTCCCAGCATTTCCTGAAGTCATTGTTTCCTCTGGTAGAATGTGCTTTACCGGCTGCAGGGTGGCACGGGCAGGCGGGATGCCTGGTGCCACAACCCCATCCCTCCCGGGCCTTGGAGCTGGACAGTTATGGGGCCCAACGCTGCCGTGCTGCGCATACTGCTGGAGTGGACGCTTCGCACTGAAACCAGAACCCTGAGTCCATCCCAACAACAGACGATGTCCCCAAACATTTCCAAATGTCCCCCGACTGAAAGCCACAGTCTCAGAGGCAGATCGAACCACCCCACATGGGGTGTCTGGTCTGTTTTTCCTCGTGAGTTATCTCCCACACATAGACTTCCTCCCCCAAATGAGACCAGCTGTATATGCAGGTTGTGCTGTGCTTTTCCACTCGATATTATGTTCCCAGCATTTCCCGAAGTCATGTACCCTTCGATAGAATGTGCTTTACCGGCTGCAGGGTGGCACGGGCAGGCGGGATGCCTGGTGCCACAACCCCATCCCTCCCGGGCCCTGGAGCTGGACAGTTATGGGGCCCAACGCTGCCGTGCTGCGCATACTGCTGGAGTGGTCGCTTCGCACATAGACCAGAACCCTGAGTCCATCCCAACAACAGACGCCGGGAGGGAGGTTCCTCATGTTGTGACCCAACCATAACATTATTTTCGTTGCTACTGCATAACTGTAATGTTGCTTCGGTTATGAATCGTAATGTAAATATCTGATATGCAGGATGGTCTTAGGCGACC